TGGGTCTTTTTTTCAAAGGGAGTAGTCTAGTTTGAGTTTTGTCTTGAGATAATTGTCCCTGAAAACCAGGATGTGATGTCAACCAAGTTAAACTTTTTTTATCCCAACTATACAGAACTAAGTTAAAAATGGATGCTTATACTTTGCTGTTAAGTAGGTTGGAAGACTCTGCAGAAGCAAAATTAACATTATATAGATCAGAGAAATAATTGCAAGCACCTAAGTTAACAAAGACTAAAGGCTGGAAAACTTTGAATTGGGGTGTTAAAGCACGTGCTTTTTAGATAAAGGTGATGTAACCTGAGGATTCTAGATTAATTTTCTTCCCACCTCCAGGGTTGGCAGGCTGGTGTACATTCGAGGTAAGTGCTAAGGGGACACACGGGATGGCTTTATGTTTTTTTTTTTTTTTTTTTTTTTTTTAAGATTTTATTTATTTATGTGACAGAGATCACAAGCAGGCAGAGAGGCAGGCAGAGAGGGGGGAAGCAGGCTCCCCACTGAGCAGAGAGCCCGATGTGGGGCTCGATCCCAGGACCCTGGGATCATGACCTGAGCTGAAGGCAGAGGCTTTAACCCACTGAGCCACTCCGGCACTCCTGGCTTTATGTTTTTATTGAGGAGCCTCGTGCACCATTTTTCCAGTAATGTAAACCGTATTATTTTGTAAGGTGTGACAATTGGGACTTTTGGATACCTGACTCTTCTGTGTGTGCTATGCAAAGGAAGGGACAAAAATGAATAATATAAGCAAGAGAGCTGAGAATATTCAAACGAGCAAACAGTTTTAAGTTCTTTTAGCTGCTATAGAGGCACTTATGTGGAAACAGCTGACCTACTAATGAGAAAACATCCTTGCCTTTCATTAAATTAATTATCCTAAAGAATTCTGCTAGGCAACACTTTGTCTAGTTCTAATTATTGTGTGCCTTTGAAAGCAATAAACTGCGCTTTCAGAATAAAATTTTATAATGTAGACATATACATGGCTTACTCAGACACTTCCTGTAATTAGAGTGGGGTAGTAATGACGGGTTATTCTTTGGTTTTTATTAAAAAGGCTTATCTACCTCTTCATAGGGAGATTATAATGAATTATTAAATAATGTATGTTTAGATCTGAGAACTCCTTGGAGATCATTATTGTTCAAATATGAGAGGTTTTTAAGGTTATCTTTTCAGATTACCATGGATCTTTTTTTTTTTTTTTTACAGATTTTATTTATTTATTTGTTAGATTGAAAGAGAGAGACAGAGAACACACAAGCAGGGGGAATGGCAGGCAGAGGGAAAAGCAGGCTCCTCACTGAGCAGAGAGCCTGATGTGGGACTCGACCCCAGGACCCTGGAATCATGACCCAAGCCAAAGGCAGATGCTTAGCAGCTTAACCAACTGAGCCACCCAGGTGTCCCTTTATATATATATATATTTTAAGAATGAACATCATATTATGACTAAATACGGTGGTAAAATTTTTCTGTCATAAACATTATGTTCAAATAAGGATAAGGTGAATCGCCATTCATGCACTTGCGTTGCCCTGCTTTTTTTTTCCACTTTGCCCTGCAGAGTTTTTTTCTAACCTTAGAACCCTGGTTAAGAAGTATAGTGAAAGAACGCACGCTGTATACCCCGTGGTCTGCACCTGCGAGCAGCTGTGTGAGAGCTGAGCTGATGTGAACGAGGAGCGGGTGCTGCCAAGGTGCGCTCGGCTGGCTCTTGAGCAGCGTTTGGACTGGGCCATATGCGTCCGTCTTAGGAGCCTGTGCTTCAGAGGCCGGTGCCTGGGTTCAAAGCTTCCATCCAGCATGAGGATCTAACCATTCTGCAGCTGGGTGACCTTGGGCAAGTTACTTAAGGCTCGTTGTTTATCTGTAAACGGGGCTAACAGTAGTTCGCACCTCCAAGGGCTGTTGTGAGGAACAAATGAATTATTGCATGTAAAGTGCTTTTCCGTGGTAAGGGCTTTGTTCACTTATCCATGCATCCACTCATTACTTATTCATTCCACTCCTGTTGATTGTACACTCACTGTGTGCGGGGCCCTGCTGCGGAGGCACCTTAGGGGTATAGCAGTCAGACAGATGAGGTCCCTGTCCTGTTGGAACCTAATTCTAGGGGGAAGAAACAGACTGTACATGAGTAAACCAGTTAACAAGGTCAGGCACTAATAAGTGCTAAAAAGACAATAGATAGGGAAATAGTGACTGGGTTATGAGGAAAGAGGTCAGTGTTAACTAGGGTGGGTAGGAGCTTCTGAGGAGGTGATGTTCAAGCTTAGGCCTGAGTGATAAGAGCTAAATTCCAGCTCTGATTAAAATGAGAGTTTTCCTTTGTGTTGGTGGCTGTCTCCATACTCTTCCTTTACAATCTCTTAACATCAGTATAAAATCCTTTGTAGCAGGATACTGCTCAGAGATCTTGAGCCCCTCTCCTGATACCACATGACTGTGTTCAGACAAGTCATTATCAACATCTTGGAGCTCATTTTCCCCAAACTTCATCTTGTCAGTACCCAGATCTGGCCACCCCTGGGTTTCTCTCCCTTGGCTCCAGCTGGTTGCTCACCCACCTTATTATGCCTGAGTTCCTGGAAGAGCCTGACTCTGTTATTCCCAACCGATAGAAAGTACAGGACTGGGTTAAGGCAGCTGCTCATGCTCACCAGAGGCCTCCATATCTTATAGGCCATGCTGGCCACCATTAAGAGCTGGCAGTCCTGTGAAGATAGAAAGCGGAGTGTGAGGTAGAAGGAACGTGTGATGTGGAAGGGGACAAAGCAGAGGGTGAAGAGGCCGCACACCAGCAAGATGGTCCGGATGGACTTGGCCCGGGCTGTATTGCCTGTCCTCCTGAGGGTCTCTCCTGGCTTGATCAGGCTCCTCACCATCAGCGAGTAGCACACCAAGATGACCAACGAAGGTAAGGCGAAGCCAGACAGTGTCAGAACCATGCCATAGGCAAAGAACTGATCAAAATTCTCTGGGCCGGTCATGTCGTAGCAGACCATCTGGCCATCGATGTAGTCTGTGTGGGAGAAGAAGAGGGTGGGCAGTAGCTGGAGGACCACCAGGGCCCAGGTGGTGGCCGTGCCCAGGAGGGCGTGCCGGCGGCTCCTGTAGGGCAGCGAGCGCAGCGGGTGGCACACGCCCAGGAAGCGGTGTGCGGAGATGCAGGTCAATAGCAGGATGCTGCCGTAAAGGTTGGTGTAGAACAGGAAGCGCACCAGCCTGCACAGCAGCTCCCCAAAGGGCCACCTGTCACCCAGGGAGTAGGTGATGATGAGGAAGGGCAGCGTCAGCACGTAAAGCAGGTCAGCTACCATCAGGTTCACCAGGTAGATGGTGGCACAGCTCCAAGGCTTGGTTTGGCGCCAGGAGAGCCACAAGACCGTGCCATTCAGGGGTAGTCCTAGTATGAGGATGACACTGTAGGTCAGGGACAGGTAGATTTGCTTGTAGTCCTCCGAGAACTTGCAGACTTGCTGGTCCCTCGAGGCATTAGTATCCAGCGTCTCCATTTCCTGGGATGCTCCCTCCGGAAGCACAGCTGCTTCTGCTTGTGCTTTACCTGGAAGGAAACAAAATGGGCAGCATAGCATCATGAACTTGGCTGCGTGTGTCTTAGGTTCTCCCTTGATCTGGCATTCAACTCTGTGTTCCCAGTCTGGTCAGAGTCCTTGTTTGACATAGGCCAGCTCCAGGAAGAAAAAAAAAATTAAACCCAAGGGCACAGGAGTCTTTTAAAGCAGGGCTTGTAGACTTACCAGCTCCAAAGGGCTGACCTTCCACTATCCTGTATGCTTTCTGCTCTAGGCTGGGATGTGATTAGGAAGCTCAAGTACACATGCTGCAGGGAGGTGCTGTAATTTCAACAGGGCATACAACCTCAAGCACTGTGACTCCTCTGCCTAGAATCCTTTGTATAGAGTCAGGAAATCTCCAAGGGCATTTGGATTTGTATCTCTTTCGAGATTTCTTAACTGCATATTTGAATACCGAGGCTGATTTGCTTATTAACCACCTCAGCATCCTGAACATCCAAAACCAAATCTAAGCCATGAGGTCAGGTGCAGCTTCTTCCATACTCCCATCTCTGCTGAGGAAGCAGATCCAGTAGGCAGATCCAGATAGCGGAGGAAACTGTGTGTGGAGCCTGCACATTTCTGTCACGCTGGGAAGTCAGTGGGTTGGTCAGCCAACCACCATGGAGCCTATAGGAATGAAAAATTTATTTCTAGGGTTTGACATTCAGAAAGACAAGCTAATACAGGGCAAGAGAGAAAGGTTTCAAATAGGTAACTGGCATAGATTGAGTGTCAACCAAAAGCTATAGCACAGTGCTACCAAGGGCTGACTATAAGCTGTAACGCAGAGCTTTATTCATAACAAAAGGAACAGAGACCTCATTCACTCTGTCAGTCAACAAACATTTATTGAGCATCTATTGGGTCTGGCACTAGGGATACAAAGATGAATAAAATACAGCTCTTACTCTCTAGGATTTCAGTCTGGTGGGGAAGACAGAAACCAATACAGCTAATTGTAACAATGTGAAGAATGGTCAGCAAAATGCTGTGAAGACCAGCAGGATCAGCAGTTCTCTGCTGAGCTGCTGTTTGAGCTGCTTGGGGAAAGAACAGAGGAGCTCGCTAGGCAAAGAAGGGTGAGGGGCCTTCCTTGGGGTTGGGGAGGCAGCCCACGAAAGGCAGTGGAGCTTAAGGCCTCCGCATTTCCTGGGGTGGCAGGGAAGCCAGCGTGGGGGTGCCCCCAGAAGGAGGGTGGGCGTTCTTCAGCAAGATGGTGATGGGATGGGCTGTGTGTGAGGAAGATCCCCAATAGCAGCTGAGAGCCAGGCCTGGAGCGGCCAGACCGTAAGGGAGCTGTAGCAGTGTACGCAGGTGAGGGTTGTTCAGTTCCCCAAGTGAGGCCATGCGGGGTGGGTGGAGGGTCGGTCTCTGGAGATGCTGCTGAGGCAGGAAGGACAGGACTGCGTGGACATGGGGCACGCACCAGAGGAGGAGTCGAGGGTGTCCCTGAGACGGAGTGAGTAGGTGGTGAGGCCAGGGCCTGAGCCAAAGCCTAAAGCTTGAACGTTGGGCCTGATGTTCTGAGGTTGGGGGACAGTGGCTCTCCAGGCTGCAGCTTGCCAGAGGGCTCACCTCCTTGTTAACTGGCTTTACAATCTACCTGACTAAGGAGAGCAAAGCTTTTTGGCTGGGTGAGTAAAAGGAATGTAGTTTTCTCTCATTTTGTTCCCTGTAATCTTTCATGTGGGGGGTTGGCAAATGCCTAGTTATTTTCAGCGAAGCTGCCTTCCCAGCTTGGTGTGGGCTCTCAGAGGGAAGACAAAGAGGGGAACCAACTTGGCTTAGTGCAGGCTCAGCCAGTTAGTTCACACTGTGAGCTTATTTAATCCTCAGAACAAGCTTGTGGAGGAAGCATTATTAGCTCCAGGTTACTGCTGAGGAAATTGAGGGTTAGAGAAGACCCCTCTATGGGGCTCACTAGGCCCTCTAATCTAGTATGCTGGTTCTTGATGTGGATTGTGGGTTTCTGCTCCCTCAGAGCGCCTTGTGGCGTGGTGGAAAGTGCTCAGATCTAGCTCTGCCAGGGGCCACTAGCACAGTTTGAACTAAGCCACTTTGTCTCTTGGAGCTGTGGTCTCTTCAGCTGTAAAATGGGGCAGTCTCTCTGTGAGGTGAGGTTGCCATGAGAATTAGCTAGAAGAAAGGCACACAGCACCCACTGGCCTGCCGCAAGGGAGAAACCCAACGTATTTTAGCTTTCTTCTCACACCTTCCTCTTTTGCTAGGGACTATGGTGCCCTGAAAACCTGAGCTCTTTTGTTTGTGTGGGAGGATGGGAGGGCAAGTGTGCCTTTGCTATCCCATAATTGGAGAAAGTCCCTTGTTTCTCTGTGGCTATTAACTTCTGCTGTGGTCTGAATTATGTCCCCTACAGATTCAGGTGTTGAACCCTTAACCCCTAATGTGACTGAAGTTGGAGTGAGGAAGTAATTAAGGTTAGATGAGGTCATAAGAGTGAGACCTTAATTCTGTAGGATTAGTGTCTTTGTAATGAAGGACAGCAGAGCATTGACTTTATGTGAGGACTTAGTGAGAAGGTGGCCTGCAGGCCTGAAACAGAGATCTCAACAGACACCAAACCCTGCAGTTCTCGATCTGGGACTTCTCACTTTCCAGAAATGTTTCCACTGTTTAAGCCACCCAGTCTGGTATTTTGTTACAGCAGCTTGAGCAGGCTGATACTGTATATGTACTTCAAGGCCTACCTATTGTGGAGAGACAGCTTTTCAGGTGAGAGGATGACCATCTTAGTCAAGGGATAAGTGTAGAGAACTACATGGTGTTTAGACTAGTGTATCATTGAGGTTGCTATTATGGAGAAAGGAAGAGGAAGAAGAAAAAGTCAGGTCATAAAGGGTTAATTCACTAGCTGAAAGCCCTGACAGTGTTGACCATCCCCTCCTCCCAGAAGCCTCTCTTTCCTGGCTTGTGTCACCCCTGGCTTTTTTTTTTTTTTGCCTCCCTAGAACTTCTAATTCTCCCCATTCACTGGGATGCAGAACTGAAGGGCCATGTAGCTATTCATAGAATAAAGGAAAGGAGTGGAGGAGAGGCAGGCTGGGGTTTTACAATAGATGAGAACTGAGGGGGCATCTGCCATGATGAATGGGATTCTAAGGAGAAGTCCGCACTTTTGGAAAGTGTGTACTGCATTATACAGTTTCCCCTCTTTATCACCATTTCCCCAAGAGCTTTCAAAAAGACTGACACAATTTAGGGTTGGAATTTGTTTCTTTTAAATGGGCTCAGTGGGAAGATGGGCCTTATGGAAAGAATGAAGCAGGTGTCCCCAGTGTATAGTTAAGTGGGTATGATGGCTTCTGACCTTGAGCCCAGGGTCTTCCCACTGTGAGTCTCCAAGAGCCTGGGTCTCTTTGTGGCCCCCTGCTATACAGACAGGGGCCTCATCAAGCCTTCCCAAGAGCAGTAGTGATCTCGGTATCACACTGGACATCTTTCAAAAGGGATGGGGAAGTCTTTGTCATCTTAATGGCCTAAAATAGCTATCATCCCCCAGGGAAAAGCACACCTGTGATGAAAGAACTGTTCTCTCTCCTTTAACAAGTTTATAAGATACATATTTCAAGAGTTCAGAAAAAAGAAAAGTGACGAATAAATTTGAGTAACGACAAAATGTTACTTTTTAAAAAAAGATTTTATTTATTTATTTGACAGACAGAAGTCACAAGTAGGCAGAGAGGCAGAAGCAGGCTCTCTGCTGAGCAGAGAGCCCAACGTGAAGCTTGATCCCAGGACTTGATCCTAGGACCCTGAGATCATGACCTGAGCTGAAGGCAGAGGCTCAACCCACTGAGCTACCCAGGCACCCCCTATGTTACTGCCTTTTGATTGTGGAGGAATGATTGTTGAATGAGAAAATCTTTAAAAAAGATTCTAGGCCAAAGGAGTGAGCATTGCTCATTTTCATTTTAAAATGCCACTATTGTATTATACATGTTTAAATCTATGAATTGATTTTAATATTTAATATTTTACCTATATCTGGAGACTTTTCTTGCTTAAACAGATGGAACTACTTAATGGAGTCTCATAAATACCTTCAGACAGTGAAAGTTCATTTTTACAAGTTATTCTGCAAAACTGTTGATTAATATGTGTATTTCTTAATTTACAAAGATGAATTACACAGATGAATTTACAAAGATAAACTACAAAGATGAATACCACAGTGTAATTATTTGATTTTTTGACAAGTTTTTTTTTAAAAAAATGAGGCCCCCAGGTACATTCTATGAGGTGGTGGATGAAAATAGTTGGTGGTTTACTTTGAATTACTTTTCTTATGTTTCAAATTCACTAGATAACTTGGTGTCATTTGGCCAGCAGACCAGTGGGTGGCGATGAAGACCGACCGGTTACAATCCCCACCCCCTCCCACGGAAGGAAGTAGAAACTGGGGTTGGGCTCAGGTCCAGGAACAGCAGCTGTGGACGAGGTATAATTCATTGAGGACATATAGGAAACCCCACCAAACAACCTCTTAATTGTCTTATGTCTACAGTTACTATGCTCGGTTCAATGAAATGGAGATACAGACAGCCAAAAGCAGCCTAGTATTGTGATTGATTTTTAAAAAGATCTCGTGAGACAGGCAATGTGGCAGTCATCCCCCCCACCCCATTTTACAGCTGAGTGAGCTGAGGTTCAGAGAGGTTGATGGAAGTCCTATCTGTGATGATTTGGGGGAAAGTCTGGACTTCTTTTACAAAGCAGAGACTCAGCTCATTCCCACATTTCCAGGAAATGTTTTCTCTCCCCTAACCCCCAAGTCATACAACAAAGAAGACACAGAAACAAAAGAGCAGGTCATCCCTGAAGTAACTTTATGTAGTGCCTTTGTTATAGATGACAGAACCCTAGTTTAAAAAGCATCATCTGGAAATAATGGCAAAGAGAGAACAGAATAAATAGAATTAAAAAAAACCTATCAAGAATGAGACCTATATAGCAGCCTTCTATCCAGTTTTAAACTATACCTGAGTCTTAAAATAAAAGGCACTGACATTAGCTATTTAATGATTTTTTACTATATTTTTATACTGTAGGCTTTCCCCAGCTGTGTACCTGGATTCCTCTTACATATTTCAGTTGTCCCAAAACATTGGAATCCAAGGCTTTTTTTTTCCTTCAAGGAAAGCAAACTGGATCCTTTAAATAATTTAGAGGATTGTCTAGAGACAGTGAATGCTTTATTTCAATAATTAATTTATATAGCAGCTTGCACATTTTTGTTTTCTGTTGACAGGGATCTGACATAATTGGCAACTTCAAATTAGTGTAAACATGGGGAGTGATTGGGAAGCATTGCTCTGACATTGTACTGTCACAACAGCCTAGGTGGCTGCTCTGAAAGTGATGTTACTTTGTCTAGAAAAATAATCACTACTAAAAAATTAATTTTTCCCCCATCTGTACAATTGTGTGATCTCCTCAAACTAACTTTGAAATCGGAATTTTTAACATTAACATTGTAGTAAAAATAACTGTAGCTATATTGTCCTGTGCTTGTAGAAGTTCATCATTGCCTTTGGGCTCACAACCTTGAAAGGGGATCTTTATGAAACTTTTTCATTTTCCTTTCATTTGGCATCAGACAAAGATCTTTAAATGCAGTACAGCTGAGTCTGTCTTTCCCTGTGTTCTGTGTCAAGAAATGTAGAAAGCTGGTTTAGTTTGAGGCAAGAGCAGAGATCAGTAGCAGAGCCTGGGGCTCTAGGACTAGTGGGAAAGTTGCCCAAGGCATCTGCCCAGTGGAGGGCTTGCATCCAAGGACCGCTCCTTCCATCCACACTTACCCTCAGGCAGCAAGTTCCCCTCACAGATTGCTGTTTAAAATCACTAACATGCTGACATGCTGTCCATCACTGGAGCCCTTCCTGTTGCTATAGTGTTGCTAAGGTGGGGGGCAGTGGTAGAAAGAATCCACAATGGCTGTGGACACTCAGCACATGGGGGAGGTGTGAGAATGCTGTTGTCTTAGCTTGAGTCTCCCAGAGAGCAGAGTGGAGGTTTAGTGTGCAACTATTTTATTAGAAGTACAGTCCTAGGGAGCAAGAGTGAGGGACAAAGGGGAATTACCTGGTGAATGAGGGAGGACTAATAGGAGGACTCAAAGATGGGTTATTGAGTTGGCCCCCACAAAAAGCAATTTAGTGCTCAATCCCAAGAGATTATCATCTTGAATCAACCACATCCAAAGAAGGTTCTCCCAGGGCCAGAAGAAAGGAGGCATTTGTTTACCAGTTTCTATCTCCCACTGGCCAGACCATGGTGGTGGGTGTGTCCTTTGAGTGGAGAAGAACATCAGAAAGAGGAAACACTGAAGAGAATGCATATTGTCTCCAAACCCATTTTTCTGCCCTATAAGGTGTTGGCCTCTTCCTTTACATGCACTTCTATGTTGCTTTTGCATGGGAAATGAGGGTCTCTTGCTGT